TATAGTGAATGCAGTGTGCGTTTGTGTAGGGATGTATTGTATGTGTTTAACTACATACCTGTTTAACTACATTTTATTTTACAAAGCAGCTGGTGGGAAGGGAAGATGGAGTGCGCTGCGGGCCCCTGCTGCAGTGAACAGAAACCGGGGGCCTGCAGGTGCACATATATAGAGAGAAAATCGCTATAAATGTGTACAAATGTGTACATCAGTACCATTCATTGTGTTAGTGGGCAAAAGGCTGGATACATGATGAAGTGTAGAGATCACTTTCTCCTTTCACACTGGACTCCTGTGTGGAATCCTGAGTGACCGTCCCAGAAGGAAATGATATGACATTATCAGCAGCACAGATGAACATTGAAGACGAGCATGAGAACAGCCTCTAGGTGTGTTCTTTTGGAGACATACATTTATAGCCTACGCTGATATTCTGAATGAGGTTTTGCACAGAATCTATACATTGACTGTCGATTTTGCTAGCACAATGTATACAAAGAATGTATAGATCAGGGATAGTCAACCTGGTCCTGGTCAACCTGGTTTGGGATTTTAAGTGGGCGGTGGTGGGTAATGCAGAAAACGCCAAGTGGGCCTCGATAGCCGTGGACCAAGGCCAGCAGGCAGTGGCGTACATACCAGGGTCGCAGGGGTCGCGGCTGCGACCGGGCCCGGCCCACCAGGGGGCCCGGCCGCCCCTGCGACCCGGTATGTAGCCACAGGGCCAGCCTCTTCCCCTGGGGGGCCCAGGAGCCGACCACCCCAGGGCCCCCCTGAGGCTGGTCCTGCTGACCCCGGGTGGTCAAGTCGGCAGGTGGCTGCCGAGGGAGCACTCCAGCTAGGGAGAACTCCCCAGCAGGCTAGTTGGAGCTTGCCGCAAGGCCACCATAAACATTACAATACAGTGTTGTGCTCAAGAGAAGGAGTCAGCCTGCAGCCGAGGAGCTGCAGCCCAAAGTGAACATACCACCATTGGACCACCAGTGCTTGTGCAGCATTCTGCCCCCGTTAAAAGGTAAGAAGAAGGGAGGGGGAGACATTAAGATAGATTTTTACATCCCACCCACCTACACACAGCAGACCCTATGCATCCTTCACACACAAATACACACTACATCCCTCACACAAACACACACACTGCCCCCTTACACACATTACACCCATCACACACACACTGCCCCCTCACACACACTACAGTCCTCACACACACACACACACACTGACTGCCCCCTCACACACACTGACCCCTTATGCACAACCCCATCACACACACAATGCCACCCTCACATATGCTCTGCCCCTACTCACAAACACACTGCCCCCTTACACACTCAATGCCCTCTTTGCATACACACAGCACCCTTAACACAAGCACAGCAACCCTCACACACACACACACACACAGCAACCCTCACACACATACTACACCCCTCACACACACAGACTGCCCCCTCACACGCACTGTTCCCTCACACACACACAGCCCCTCTCTCACACACACAGCCTGCACCCCCACATACTACACCCCTCACACACACTGACTGCCCCCTCACACACACTGCCCCTCACACGCACTGCCCACCTCACACATGCACTGCCCCACACACACACGCACTGCTCCCTTCACACATGCACAGCAACCCTCACACAGGCACAGCACCTCTCATACACATATAGCACCCTTCACACACACACAGCACCTCTAACACACCACACTGCACCCCTGACCCACACACTGCACCCTTCACACACACACACTGCACCCTTCACACACTGCACCACTCACACACTACACACACAAATGTACACACACAGCACCCTTCACACACACAGCATAAAATAAAATAGAAAAAAGGGGAAAAAAGATATATTTAAGTACATATTTGGAAAAAAAACCCTCATTTCTAAAATGGGCGGTAAGGAAATGTTATCATCAACAAAGATACAAAAGTGGTATGTATAAAAAGGTTTACTAACCCTGGTATAGATAGAATGTAAAGTGCAAAGTACCATGACAGGTATCCTTTAACATCAGCTTTTGAAATATTTATGTTTGTTTCATATTTTTGTTATTTGTTTATTGCTGTTCTTTTCTTAAATAAAATGGTGCAATAGTATAAAAGGGAAGAAGTCACAGTTGAATGTGCCTGTGGGTTCCACTCATTTCCATGGTTACCTCACTTTTTGACTGTAGACCACTTGTTTAGGTCAGAACACTTTGATAAATCTCTCCATTGTGTGTTCATTACCTGTGTACATAGATACGGGGGCTCATATGTAATTAGCAGTTCTAAAGCGAACATTTTACATTGGAGCATCCACCATGGAATTCAATGGGATTTCCTTGTGGATTTTTCCTTTTTTTTAACGTAATGCCATCATTATTCTTTATGCACAAACCTCCACTGTTATCACTGTTATCATAATACTAAGGCTTTGGTTTTTCTTGCAGCTGATGAAATTGAACCAGCAGTGGGATGAAATATATAGAAACACTACACAGAGAATGCAGCACACAGTACACGCTCTACAAGAAGAAGTTCACAGCTTGAGACAGCACAGTGACAAACTGAGCCTAATGTTGGAACATGAACAGGTGACCTGTCTCTTGTTTTTATCAAAAGCTATAGCATGTTGTGCATGGAGTTTTCTTGGCATGGGAGATTATGAGGATCCTGTATGTGCATACCTGAGGTCAAAATCCAAAAAGCACAGAAATAAAACATGGAACTGTTTGGGGATCAGTACAGGTTGCATGTCAGTTATTCTGACATTTCTTTAAAAATACTAATTTGCCTCCCTGATTCATGGGGTTTTAAGGAGTACTTGTAGCAGGGAATTTTCACAGACAGTGGAATATGGGAAAAGTCATGGGCATGGTTAGAAACAGAAAAAATATGTTTGTACAGTGTCTTGAACAAGTATTCACTCTCCTTGGATATTTCCGCAACTTATTGTATTACAACCTGGAATTGAAATTGTGAAAATAAAATTTTGGGGATTTTTACTATTGGCTTTATAGAACATTCCAAACAAGGTGTAAAATGTTTTTTATTGTGACTGCGGTTTGAAGTACAGTATGTTGGCTGTAGAGCAGGATTGACCATAAGGCGATTCTAGGTGGCCGCCTAGGGACCAGGAGTTGGTCAGGGGCCTTGGAACCGTGATGTTTTTTGGAACTGAACTCAACATCTGAGTGAAAGATTTCTTGTAGGCTAAACTAGGTTTTCCTATAGAATGCCCTGTATTTGGCTCAATACATCTTAACCTCAAACCTGACAAACCTGTTACCAAGTCCATTTTGATGAAAACATACCCTCAAAATAATGGTATTATTTCATGCTTAACATTGGTAATGGAAATGAGCAGTGTTTGTCTTTGCATTGCTATTATTTTGATAGTTCATTGACCTTCAAGGTGCTATTTGTTTTAATAAGCCCAAGGGCATTCAGGACACAGGTATGGTTATTATAAAATTACGTGACTGTAGACAATTGGAGTTTTATCAAATATTTCATATCCTAAGGGGCAGATACGTATGCAATTGATAAATAGATGTTTTTTAGTGAATAATTTAGTGTATAATTGTGTCACAGTCATATTTTACACTTTAAAAATGTTAGGTATCTTGTGTAAATCAAATCAAAAAACAAATAAACAATAGATCCTCTTTAAAGGACCACTATAGGCACCCAGACCACTTCAGCTTAACGAGGTGGTCTGGGTGCCTGGTCCAGCTAGGGTTAACCCTTTTTTCTGTAAACATAGCAGTTTCAGAGAAACT